CGTAGAAAAACTAAAACAATTGATTTACAATATTTCACATTACATTAAAAATAAGCCCTAACACAATAAATATTTCATTGAAACTACTAAAACAATATTTCTTATTAGAACATCTCAACGTTTGTCTTTATTGCGAATATCTTATTATAACTTCCCAAATATTTTATCAAAAAAAAAACTTCCCAAATAAAATTAAATACGAAAACAATAATAACTCTCTAATCATCGGCAGTATATTGTCTTTTTCTTGAAAAGGCATCCATCATTGAACTTCCATAATCCGTACGACTTTATACATATACATACACATATATATATATATATTTATATATAAGAATCAATATCAATGAAATCGTCTTAACATAGATATTTAATTGTTTACTTTAAAAAAAATGTGTATATATAATCACTTCGGAAAATTTATCCAACTATTTGATTATATGATGATGAAATCATTTGTATACCGTAATTGCAATATGGTTATATTATCAATATAGTTGAAAAATTGCAAATAATTTTCATAGCGATATACAGACTGGCACTGTATTAAATTTGTCAAACTAAGAGTTGAACCAATCTTCTTCCTCCGTCATTTTTTAATACGTTCACTAATCTTTTGACAAAATTTTAACGTATTCATTTATGTCCGATAAAATTAATAAAATTCATAATAGTGATTCCCGTAGAGAATTGAATCCACAATTCCTTGATTGCACATTGGTTGCATTTGCTTATTTATAGTATAAACATTTTAATTGTAAAAAATTATATCATTTGTATTACAAAATATTTAATTTAAATAAATTATCTTTTTTTTATAATTGATTTCTATCAATTTAATTTGAAGAAATTAAGTTACATCCAAGCCAATGAATTTAGATGCATGGAAATATTATTCGATCAAATTCGGTTTAGTTTTGTACCGTTTTATATAATAAAGTGCAAGATTACGGTTCATCCAATTTCGAGTGAAATTTTATCATTTTATAACATGAAAACATGTCATGTATATCGGATTAAAAAGTAGGCGAAGTAAAATTATATCGAATAATCAATGACTACATATGGCATTAATAAATGAAATATTCCGATTGAGACAGATCGTGTGTTGGTATCTCCTATTTCATGGGATCATGTTGCGCACCTAGCTTTTTTTTTAATCCTCTTCCACAAAGAAATTCGGCTGTTTTACTACGGAAAATCTGTCGGTTATTTATTTTTTATTAAAAACAAACAAACAAATAAATAAATAATATATGAAATACTGCCAATTCAACATATATATATATATATATATTCTAATTATTCGCATAGATATGAATATAACTTCAATGCATACAATTGTTTTTCAAAAAAAACATAATTCTATTTTTACCAAATAAACGACGGCGGTGTTCATCACCGCCAACCCTAGTCGATGAGCTATTTTTCTTAACGACGATGTTCGTTTATCGACGTCAACCCTAGCCGATGTGCTATTCTTTTTTTTTCTCTGACGATGTTCGTATATCGACGTCAACCCTAGTCGTTATAAGCTCTTTAAACATGGTTTTTACCCTCTTTCGATTGGAAAACTCCGATCGTCGATCCACGTATTTGCATCACTTATTTTTATTTTCTTCTCTTGTCCCGCTGCTAGACTATCACGCATTATGCGTCGCGCTTTTGCGTCCATTTTTTTTTCTTCTTTTCTCCGGCCTAGCCGCTATTCACACCGCAATTTTTTTTTTTGCGTTGCCGACCTCATTATCGCGCAACCCAACTCGCGCATATGCGCCGCACATCCGTGCCACATCAGCCTCCAAGAATACAACTCTCAAGCTCTTCAAACGTTATCAAGCAACACCAACTCAAGTCTAGACTACACCACCACATGAAAGATGATTCGTTTAATACGATCACAATTTCAGTTTTCAGTTTTTATGTAACAAGATTGAATTCATCATAGATGATTCATCTTGAGGGTATATAGGAAGATATTATTCTTAGAATATTATCATTAATATTGTTATAATTTACCCTAGATATTATGCCTAGAATATTCTATTGTATTTTCTTATATATTATGATGTATTCTTTTCATTATCAATAATAGAAAAATATTTTCCTATTATAGCATCCCTTTTATGTAGAAAAAGTCAACGCCCGGAATGTTGTACGGATTAAGAAGCCGTCGTAATTTATTGTCATTATATAATATATTTTTTTTGGTTGAAGTCATTATATAATATTGCATGATCTCCATCTCATATATCCACGATATCAAAAGTTAGATGAAGACCATATATAAGTTACAGCACATATAAGATAGATATAATATATCCCACAATTATTATAAGTTTGAAAATAATTAGATTATAGCTTTTTTTACGATTATAGCTTATATTTCAGAATTATAGATCAACAAGAGTTTGTTTTAGGCTATAATACTCGTAGAAAAACTAAAACAATTGATTTACAATATTTCACATTACATTAAAAATAAGCCCTAACACAATAAATATTTCATTGAAACTACTAAAACAATATTTCTTATTAGAACATCTCAACGTTTGTCTTTATTGCGAATATCTTATTATAACTTCCCAAATATTTTATCAAAAAAAAAACTTCCCAAATAAAATTAAATACGAAAACAATAATAACTCTCTAATCATCGGCAGTATATTGTCTTTTTCTTGAAAAGGCATCCATCATTGAACTTCCATAATCCGTACGACTTTATACATATACATACACATATATATATATATATTTATATATAAGAATCAATATCAATGAAATCGTCTTAACATAGATATTTAATTGTTTACTTTAAAAAAAATGTGTATATATAATCACTTCGGAAAATTTATCCAACTATTTGATTATATGATGATGAAATCATTTGTATACCGTAATTGCAATATGGTTATATTATCAATATAGTTGAAAAATTGCAAATAATTTTCATAGCGATATACAGACTGGCACTGTATTAAATTTGTCAAACTAAGAGTTGAACCAATCTTCTTCCTCCGTCATTTTTTAATACGTTCACTAATCTTTTGACAAAATTTTAACGTATTCATTTATGTCCGATAAAATTAATAAAATTCATAATAGTGATTCCCGTAGAGAATTGAATCCACAATTCCTTGATTGCACATTGGTTGCATTTGCTTATTTATAGTATAAACATTTTAATTGTAAAAAATTATATCATTTGTATTACAAAATATTTAATTTAAATAAATTATCTTTTTTTTATAATTGATTTCTATCAATTTAATTTGAAGAAATTAAGTTACATCCAAGCCAATGAATTTAGATGCATGGAAATATTATTCGATCAAATTCGGTTTAGTTTTGTACCGTTTTATATAATAAAGTGCAAGATTACGGTTCATCCAATTTCGAGTGAAATTTTATCATTTTATAACATGAAAACATGTCATGTATATCGGATTAAAAAGTAGGCGAAGTAAAATTATATCGAATAATCAATGACTACATATGGCATTAATAAATGAAATATTCCGATTGAGACAGATCGTGTGTTGGTATCTCCTATTTCATGGGATCATGTTGCGCACCTAGCTTTTTTTTTAATCCTCTTCCACAAAGAAATTCGGCTGTTTTACTACGGAAAATCTGTCGGTTATTTATTTTTTATTAAAAACAAACAAACAAATAAATAAATAATATATGAAATACTGCCAATTCAACATATATATATATATATATATTCTAATTATTCGCATAGATATGAATATAACTTCAATGCATACAATTGTTTTTCAAAAAAAACATAATTCTATTTTTACCAAATAAATAAGATTAACCGGATATATTTTTATACATAATGAAATTACAATGATTTCAATTTATCTGATCACCACACAAAAAATCCATTTTAATAAAAATAAACGAAAAACACTCAACCTAAAAAAAAAATCATCCTTCTCCTTTTTCATCAGTTTTTCTTATAACTTAGGTGCAGTTGCCCATGTTTATAGACATTGTTTCAGAAGGTTCAATGAAGAGTTATGTAATTTTTTAAAAGAAAGTTCACATAAAGTTACCTATAATTTCAACAATATCAAGATCTATGCATATCTCTGTTAAATGAAAAAATATATAAGATATAGAAATATCCATTAAATTTTTAATATATCCTTCCATAACAATAAATACAAACCTAAAATATTCAACAATTTTTCGATTATCAATAAGAAATATGGTTTTCTAACAATTCGTATGATAATAATTAAACAATTGTCGATTTTGTTTAGGGACCACCAACATGTTGTATCAAATATAAAAATGTTATAGATATCAAGAGTTCGACTTGATAGAGAATCACATTTTTACCCTTTTTTAGGGTCAAATCTCCGATTTTACCCAAGAATACAATAGATATTATATTATCTATAAAGCATGTTGAATAGAATATATACAATTTGGAAATTTGAAAAGAAAAATGCTGGACGAGGTACGCGTCTCCAGGTGACATGTCAAAGATTGTACCCTACGGCTAAAACCCGTACGGAAGTTGGAACGAGCTTGTACGTTTTCCGACAAGCGATACGAAGACCGTGAACCTTGACTTGTACATCGTGGATGTCTTCTTGATTATTAAGGATATCTTGCGCTAAAAAAAAGGGGTTTTCTTATATGTATATATTTTTGGCGTAATTTTAGTTTTCAAAGTGATTTCTTCTTTTAAACCGATAAATTTGAATTTCTTTAAAAAAAATGATATTTGTGGGATAAAATTGAAATGAGTTCTACTAATTGGTTCTTCGTGTGGGTTAATTTGGATAGATTAATGTAGGGGTCAGAAATCCAAATGATATTTGTGGGATATTTTTTTTATTAACCCCCCCAATATATATATATATAACCAGAGGGGGCATATACCTTGGAAGATGCCGGAGATCATGTAGCCATCAATCTCCCATCACTTTTGCAATATAAATAGCCACCATTGTTAGCCTCATATATCATATATCATCACCATCCCAAGGCTAAACCCTATATTTCGCAGCGAATTAACATTAGACTGATCAGGTGAACTGTCTCTTCTTCAGGTTTCTCTCACTCTAATTAGTGAACATGTAATCTTTTCGACGTGCAATAACTTATATATATATATATATACATGCATGTGTATATATACGCTTTAATTAGTTCATGTTGATAACTTCGATGTTTTTCTTTCATCAAGTCCTCACTCTTCTTAACAAGTACAAGTCATAGATTTGATAAACAGAAAAATAATATAGTTATCAGTAACTGATGTGCGCGTTATTATCGTTTTCTTCTATAACCCTGATTTCTGTTTTGAACAAGATGTAACATTGGTTTTGTCTGCAGATCGAGTTGTCGGAAGGTCAAAAGACAATGGCTGAGGATCAACAGATAGGAGTGCTCAAGGCACTGGATGTGGCAAAGACGCAGCTTTACCATTTCACGGCCATTGTGATAGCCGGAATGGGATTCTTCACCGATGCGTACGATCTCTTCTGCATCTCGCTGGTCACAAAGCTCCTCGGCCGTCTCTATTACCATAACCCTCAGTCAGCTAAGCCCGGAACCCTCCCACCGGACGTGGCTGCAGCCGTCAATGGTGTCGCCCTCTGTGGGACGTTGGCCGGTCAGCTCTTCTTCGGGTGGCTCGGTGACAAACTCGGACGCAAGAAAGTGTACGGTATCACTTTGGTCATGATGGTCGTTTGCTCGGTTGCCTCTGGCCTCTCCTTTGGCAACTCTGCCAAGGGTGTCATGACCACTCTCTGCTTCTTCCGGTACATTAACGCAAAACATACATATATATATATATATATAACTGGTTAAATATTTCATGTCATAACCTGATCCGATATATATATATGTTGTACGTAACACAAGTATTTTGTTACATCCCCATTTATTCTGCTAATAGAAAGAACACCTACAGCTATCTAGCTATATAATGTATGTAGATTTATTAATTACAACACCCTGCCGTCACAGGTTCTGGTTAGGGTTCGGCATCGGAGGTGACTACCCTCTCTCCGCCACCATCATGTCTGAATACGCGAACAAGAAGACTCGTGGGGCTTTCATCGCGGCAGTATTCGCCATGCAGGGCGTCGGGATCTTGGCCGGAGGTATGGTAGCGCTCATGGTCTCAAGCATATTCGACCACAAGTTCCCGGCTCCAACGTACCAAGTGAACCGAAATCTTTCGACTCCTCCTCAAGCAGACTACATATGGCGTATCATCCTCATGGTCGGCGCTCTTCCAGCCGCATTGACCTATTATTGGCGTATGAAGATGCCCGAAACCGCCCGTTACACGGCTTTGGTCGCCAAGAACGTCAAACAGGCAGCTCAGGACATGTCCAAGGTTTTGCAGGTTGATCTGGAAGTCCAAGAAAGGGAGGAGGAACTCATCAAGGACCCGAAACTTAGCTATGGCTTGTTCTCCGCTGAATTCTTGAGACGCCACGGGCTTCACCTTCTTGGTACAACCTCTACATGGTTCTTGCTCGACATCGCTTTCTACAGCCAGAACTTGTTCCAGAAAGATATTTTCTCGGCCATCGGATGGATTCCAAAGGCAGCCACGATGAACGGTATCCACGAGGTGTTCATGATCGGCAGGGCACAAACCCTAATCGCGCTCTGCAGTACCGTCCCCGGTTACTGGTTCACGGTCGCATTCATAGATATAATCGGAAGGTTCTGGATCCAACTGATGGGGTTCTTCTTCATGACGGTCTTCATGTTCGCCATAGCCTTCCCATACAACCACTGGATCAAGCCGGATAACCGCATCGGATTCGTGGTGATGTACTCTCTCACTTTCTTCTTCGCCAACTTTGGACCGAATGCAACGACGTTCATCGTCCCGGCAGAGATATTCCCGGCCAGGCTGAGGTCGACGTGTCACGGAATCTCTGCCGCGACAGGGAAAGCGGGTGCGATCGTGGGAGCGTTCGGATTCTTATACGCAGCGCAGCCAAAGGACAAGACGAAGGTGGACGCAGGATACCCACCAGGCATCGGAGTGAAGAACTCTTTGATAATGCTCGGCGTCATCAACTTTGTCGGAATGTTGTGTACTTTCCTCGTTCCTGAATCCAAGGGCAAGTCCCTCGAAGAACTCTCCGGCGAGGCCAAGGTCGACGAAGATTGATATTATTATTTCCAATCATATCACCTTTTTCAATTATACGAAATGTGTTTTTTTTTTCTCGGGTGCTACGTTTTTTTTTTGTTTATGGTTGTCGTTGTTTGATTCGGTTTATTTTGTAATGGAATGTCTATATACGTTGATTTTCCGGGCGTGATAATGTGATGTCTACTTGGTGATCGTTGATTAATTTTTTATTTTCCGTATCTTATATGGTTCATTTCTTGAATAAACTGAATTTAAAAGAGTAATTAGTATTCGTTAATGTGAAAGAGGAAATACAAAGGAGAAATTAAGAAGTGTCGTCCACTCAGAAAATCGCTGCTTTATAAAATTAATGGTCTGCATGATAAATTTGGTCATAATTAATGGCCAACAATAAAAACCATTACCGTTTCTTCTTTTTTTAATTAATAATAAGTCAATTCGTGAAACTATATTTTATTTATTTTTATAATGGTGGGTTATTATTCTACTAGTTTTGACTTTTTGGAAATCCTTTTCATGACCAAATTGTCACTCTAATGTGAACTAATCCTGCATAAAAAGATTCACAAATGGTTATTAATGTCTGTGAAATTTCAATGTCCGTGAAATATATATTGATGGAGTTGGAACGTATAATATATAGTTAGGGATTGCTGTATACGGCGTTAATACACGAAGATACTTCAAACATGGAATGCACTTCGTTTATGTTTTATTTATTAGTTTTCTTTTTCATCTCTGTCTCCAGATCATACAACGGGTGGATCCAAATGTCAAAGCCTTCGAGTTACACGTGTCACTGTTTTGCAACGGATACGACAATCTGACCAAATTGGCATATTGCTGTAACATAATTACCATATTACCATTAATAGAATTATAACATAATAGTTTTTTATATCGATTTTTTCAGTTTACACGTCTAAACCGTTCACATGATCACATCCCTGTTGCTCGTGGTTTTTGAGCAAATATATAATATCGAGAAAATGAAATCATTTCGTAAATAGGGCATCTTAATTAAAATACACTAATTTGTATATTTGACTAATTGAACATATAAAATTATGTAATCAAGTTGGTTGATTGCTATGCATTATTGTTGCGTATAGATATTGAGTTTATAATTAAATATCATGCATTGTGTAGTATCGATTAAGAGGATAGGTTTGTAAATTTTAAAACGTTGAACGAGTTAATAGTATAGTTAATTATATGTGAAAAAAGCATTATTCCCAAAAGATGCCTTTAACACTCTCTCTCCTCCTCTTCTATAAATTCCCACCAAAATTTCGAAATCCAAAATCACCACCTCGTCAACTCCTCATACTGTCTCTCTCGTCTCGGCCACAACTGAGTAACGAACGCAACGACAAGGTGAGTTTAGATTTCCGACAAAAACTTATAACATGTTTCAGATTATAAACCCAGTTTTAGTTTGGGACTAATTAACAATGGTGGGTTTTGTATGTATGTAAGGTCAAAAGGGGATGGCTGAGGACCAACAGATAGGAGTGCTCAAGGCACTCGATGTGGCAAAGACGCAGCTTTACCATTTCACGGCCATTGTGATAGCCGGAATGGGATTCTTCACTGATGCATACGATCTCTTCTGCATCTCTCTGGTCACGAAGCTCCTCGGCCGGATCTATTACTTCGACCCGACCTCACCTAAGCCGGGAACCCTCCCTCCTGACGTCTCTGCGGCCGTCAATGGCGTCGCCCTCTGCGGAACATTGGCTGGTCAGCTCTTCTTCGGATGGCTCGGTGACAAATTGGGACGGAAGAAAGTCTACGGTATCACTTTGATCCTGATGGTCCTCTGCTCCGTCGCCTCTGGTCTCTCCTTTGGCCACGCCGCTAAGGGAGTCATGACCACTCTCTGCTTCTTCAGGTATCTATCGATATTTGTCTTTCACTGATCCTGATCACGTCAAGAAAAAAATATAAACCTTTTTTTTTTCCAAACGACGAGGAGGCCTGATTCGTGATGTTACAGGTTCTGGCTAGGGTTCGGCATCGGAGGTGACTACCCTCTCTCCGCCACCATCATGTCCGAATACGCGAACAAGAAGACACGTGGAGCTTTCATAGCGGCCGTGGTCGCCATGCAGGGCGTCGGAATCTTGGTCGGAGGTATGGTAGCGCTCATAGTCTCGAGCATATTCGACCACCAATTCCCGGCCCCGACATATGCAGTGGACCGAGCCCTCTCGACGCCTCCTCAAGCTGATTACGTATGGCGTATCATCCTCATGGTCGGCGCTCTTCCAGCGGCCTTGACCTATTACTGGCGTATGAAGATGCCTGAAACCGCCCGTTACACGGCCTTGGTCGCCAAGAACGTCAAACAGGCGGCTCAGGACATGTCCAAGGTCTTGCAGGTTGATCTCGAGGTCCAAGAAAGGGAGGAGGAACTCATCAAGGACCCCAAACTTAACTATGGATTGTTCTCCGCCGAATTCCTGAGACGCCATGGCCTCCACCTTCTCGGCACAACCTCTACATGGTTCTTGCTCGACATCGCTTTCTACAGCCAGAACTTGTTCCAGAAAGACATCTTCTCGGCCATCGGATGGATCCCAAAGGCGGCCACTATGAACGCCATCCACGAGGTGTTCAAGATCGGCAGGGCGCAGACCCTGATCGCGCTCTGCAGTACGGTTCCCGGTTACTGGTTCACGGTCGCGTTCATCGACATAATGGGAAGGTTCGCGATACAACTGATGGGGTTCTTCTTCATGACGGTCTTCATGTTCGCCATAGCCTTCCCTTACAACCACTGGACCAAGCCGGATAACCGCATCGGATTCGTGGTGATGTACTCTCTGACTTTCTTCTTCGCAAATTTCGGCCCAAACTCGACGACGTTCATCGTCCCGGCAGAGATATTCCCGGCCAGGCTGAGATCGACGTGTCACGGAATCTCGGCGGCGTCAGGAAAGGCGGGGGCCATAATAGGGGCGTTCGGATTCTTATACGCAGCTCAACCGAAGGACAAGACGAAGGTGGACCATGGCTATTCGCCAGGTATCGGCGTCAAGAACTCTTTGATAGCCCTCGGTTGCGTCAACTTCGCCGGAATGGTTTTCACTCTCCTCGTTCCCGAGTCAAAGGGCAAGTCCCTCGAAGAACTCTCCGGCGAGGCCAATCCCGATCAGAAAGATCAAGATTAAATATAAATATGTCAGGAATTCTTTGCGAGGCCAATTTTCTTCAATTTCTGTTTGTATGAATGATTCTGCAATAACTGTTGTTGATTTTGTGATTTGAATTTTTTTTTTGGTTACAAGTGTGGGATTGTATAGTCTAAATATTTGGTGTTCAATGCATTTTGTTTGTTGATTAATTTCTTCCACACTCTTACCGGACACGTTAGATGGTCCAGAGACTTCTTGTCCCCAGCGCTCGTTATGTGTGGGAATCATGGATTGATTAATCTGAATTCATAATTAATCCCTGGAATCATTTATAAATTTTAATCGAACCTAATCTACGTGAATATTTTTCACAATTTGTTTCTTACGCGCCAAGAAACAGGTTCTTGATTTCGCTAAATTTGCAAATTTATGGTGTGGGATATTATTATTTTATAATAACCGAAACTGAATGTTGATAGTTTTTTTTACATTCCAGTTACCTAATATCTTTTTTTTTTTTTGTGAAAATTATTAACAGCGTAAAGAATAATTAAACCATCTAACACGATATATGTACATATGGACATGTTACAACTTGTTTAATGAGACGAGGAGAACATGGGTTACGAATAAGATATGCATAAGCTGAGATTTTAGATATAATCAAATACGACCACAGAGAATATTCTCAGGATAATTCCTAGGTAATTTTTTATTTTTTAAAATTTGAAGATCGATACCGAATCATATAGTGTTTATCACAAATAATCTTTGTGGGTTTTTTATTTAAAAAAAAAAAGGAAAAATAGATGGAATTAAATGCTAACAAACTCCCCTAAATTCTCGAGATTTTAGTCCGACTTCCACTCTGACTCTGACTTCCAACTTTATTTTTTAAAAAAATATAATTTTATTCTCTCTCTCCTCCTCTCTATTTATACGCCACAAACCCTAGCACTCGAACTGCTCTTCAGTCTCCAGCAAAACTTGATCGGAAAGTACAGCAGATCTCATCGTCCGGGCGGGAACGGCTTCATCGTCACGGTCCGAATCAAATCTTTCTCCTCTCTTTGGAATTCTGTTGGTTTACGTATATGCAATATATTAGTTTCCCGTACGTATAGGTTATATATATATATGTATATGTATAGGAAATTCCATCACGTAAACTCGTTCGCATCATGAATGCAGCGTGTGAAAACGTCGTCTTGATTACCTGACCATATGATCTTTGTCTTCTCTTTTGTTCGCCAGTTGAGTCTCGGTTTGAAAAACTATCTTAATTCTGCCATATGTAGTCCAAATCCGTTATTATACAGTGATTTGTTTCGTATATTTAATGAACACACACACATATATATATATATATATATATATATATATATATATATATATATATATATATATATATATATGTGTGTGTGTTCATTAAATATACGAAACAAATCACTGTATAATAACGGATTTGGACTACATATGGCAGAATTCAGATTATATATATATATATATATATATATATATATATATATATATATATATATATATATGCAACTGCAGTGCTTGTTCATGTTGGGAAAATCGTTCATCTACCTCTATATTCGCATTCATAACGCAACCTTGGGTTTGTTTTTTTGGCAGTCACAAGAAGGATCTTGGAAGATATGGCAAGCGAAGAACGCGGTGTTTTGAAAGCGCTAGACGCGGCTAAAACGCAATGGTACCACTTCACAGCAATCGTGGTCGCGGGAATGGGATTCTTCACAGATTCATACGATCTCTTCGTGATCTCTCTCGTTACGAAGCTCCTTGGCCGTGTCTACTACCACACGCCGGGCTCCTCCTCACCGGGGAGTCTCCCAAACGGCATCTCCTCTGCCGTCAGTGGTGTCGCCTTTGCCGGAACCCTCCTCGGACAGCTGTTTTTCGGTTGGCTCGGCGACAAGCTTGGTCGGAAGAAAGTTTACGGCATTACACTTTTGCTCATGACCATATGCTCCATCGGCTCTGGCCTTTCCTTTGGCAACGACCCGAAAACCGTGCTTATCACTTTGTGTTTCTTCCGATTCTGGCTCGGTTTCGGGATCGGAGGAGATTACCCTTTGTCGGCCACGATCATGTCGGAGTATGCCAACAAACGCACTCGTGGCGCGTTTATAGCCGCGGTTTTTGCCATGCAAGGGTTTGGAATCCTAACCGGGGGGATTGTAGCATTGGCGGTCTCGGCTCTGTTCGAGGCCAAGTTCCCGGCCCCAGCTTACATGGTGGACGCGGCCAGGTCGACGGTTCCTCAGGCCGATTTCGTCTGGAGGATCATTCTCATGTTCGGAGCCGTACCAGCAATCCTGACTTATTACTGGAGGATGAAGATGCCGGAAACGGCACGGTACACAGCCTTGGTCGCCAAGAACGCCGAGCAAGCCGCAGCTGACATGTCAAAGGTCCTCAACGTTGATCTGGAGGCGGCTAGACCAGTTAGGGTTTCGAAGGATGAGTATGGCTTGTTCTCCAAGAAATTCTTGTTCAGACACGGTCTTCACTTGCTGGGCACGACAACGACATGGTTCCTACTCGACATTGCGTTCTACAGCCAGAACCTGTTCCAAAAGGACATCTTCACGACCATCGGATGGTTACCGTCGGCGAAAACCATGAACGCGATCGAGGAGGTCTACAAGATCGCTAGGGCTCAAACCCTAATCGCCCTCTGCAGTACCGTCCCTGGTTACTGGTTCACGGTCGCGTTCATCGACAGAATCGGACGGTTCCCGATCCAGATCATGGGATTCTTCTTCATGACGGTGTTCATGTTCGCTCTCGCCATCCCGTACCATCACTGGACACTCCCAGACAACCGCATCGGCTTCGTCGTGCTTTACTCGTTCACGTTCTTCTTCTCCAACTTCGGCCCGAACGCCACGACGTTCATAGTGCCGGCGGAAATATTTCCGGCGAGGTTGAGGGCCACGTGTCACGGGATATCGGCGGCGTCGGGGAAGGCCGGAGCCATGGTTGGTTCGTTCGGGTTTACGTATTTGGTTCAAGCCATCGGGATGAAGAAGACGCTCTCCATCATGGGTGGAATCAATCTGTGCGGCTTGTTGCTGAGTTTTCTCGTGCCGGAGCCAAAGGGGAAGTCATTGGAGGAGATTTCCGGCGAAGCCGAGGAGGAGATTGCCACTACCACTACCACTACTTCGAGTTGATTAATTTAGTCTTTTTTTTTTTTAATTTCTCGATTAGGGTTTTTTTTATGTTTTGATTATTAGGTTTGGTACTTTGGATTTTCTATTGTTATGTTGTGCCAAAAACTTAATGGTTGATTAGAGTTTTATTTTATGTGAAGCATTCGTCGTTTACAACAAAATTATCTTTGTAATATAAACATATGGATTACAAACTCGAAAACTAGTTATGGCCGAGAACCGTACATGAAACAAACTGGATGCCAAAAAAAAAAAAAAAAAAAAAAAAACAGGGAGGGCATGATTTTTCAAGCTTAAAGGTCCATAGAGAGAATTTCTTACCCATCTCTCGTTGAACTCGGAATCCGATCAGAAGAATCTTGAAGATCCTGCAGGTTTTTCCCTTCGGACATTAATGAACATGAATGCGGAACCGAGAACAAGCTCGTGCTTGTGCTCTGTCTCCTCGCTCCCGAGAAAGAAGACGATTCCGCTGTCGTCGAGTACAGATCCTCCTCGTCTCTGCCTCGTGAAGTCCCGATGCATTTTTTCACCTTCCGGCTTCCCGTTTCTTCTCCGTCTTCTCCCAGTTCTTCAGCTCGTTTAGCTCTTTTGGAACTGTTCTGATGAACAGCCGTCGGTACCCGTTGGTCGGTGGACGAGTTTTCCGGGCCGTTGGCCTCGAGAGCCTCGGAGCTATCGACAACGATCTCGTCTGGTGCAACTCCTGTCAAGATTTGCATCTCTCGCATTCTGAATATGGCCTTGGTGAGATGTTCACGCGCCGTGTCAATGTCTACTATCGGTTTGGCATAGTTCACGCCCAGTTCCACACCGGACGCTTTCAGCACGGTTTCGGGAGCATCCCAAGGATGATGGATCCATTCAGTGGGAAGTCTTGCTAGCTCGGGGAGCCATTGCCGCACATACTCGCCTTCCGGGTCGTATTTGGCACCTTGTATCTGAATCAGAACAGAATTTTTACAACCTGAAAGTTACCTACAAGATAGCTTAGTTTCTAATCTATGAGAGATGGGCTTAGTACCTCAGGGCTGTCCAAGCGGTTGAGTTCGTGGCCGTCGGGCAAGCTACCCGAGATATATTGCCACCCGAGAATGTCACATTCCAAATCAGCATCCAAAAGGGTATCCCAGAAATACTTCATCCCCCATTTCCATGGAAGAAGAAGAAACTTCACAGCAAAACTCGAGACAATCACTCTTATTCGATTATGTATCCACCCAGTCGCCCAAAGCTCTCTCATGCCGGCATCCACCAGCGGATAACCTGTCCGGCCTTGTCTCCAAGCCTTGAAATTTTCGACATCGGAATTCCAAGGGAGAAACCGTAGATAACTCAACAACGACCGCTCATGAGTGAACGGAAAATTGAAACAGATGTACCGGGAGTATTCTCTAAATCCGATAGCTCTAAGAAAAAGCCCGGCACTTTCCTCTTCTTCGGTGTTCTTATCTCTTGCCCATATAATTTGTTTCATCCGAACACACTGGAAAACACGTCTGATGCTTATTTCGCCAAAGTGTAGATATGGCGACAGTAATGAGGATGAGTTTCCCGCAACTTTCTTGCTGTTCTTGGAGTAATCTTTCAGATGGTTCTCGATGAACTCGTTTAGTATCTTATCACCATTGCTCCAACCGGGTGACCATGCTCTAGCCAGTAAAGCGTTGCTCGGTTTCTCGGCTTCGTTTTCTAGCCCTAACTCCTCGACCGAACATTTCTCCACAGTTTCTGTCACTAGCAAAAGAAGAAAAAAAAGCTGGTTCAACCGTTGTTTCTCCATCTCAAAGGAGTCAGATTTCTTACATAACTCTTGGCTTTACCTGTAGTTATTGTCTTCAGCCGCCAAGGAGGAGGAAGTGGAACAGATTCCATTGGCATGTTCAAGCATTTCTTCCAGTAAAAACTGAAAGTCGTAAAGGGTTGGCCTCTCTCGTCATATATCTCCCATGGTTCATACAGCAAATCTCCATTGTAGCTCTGCACAGAAATCCCATGTTCCCCCAGTTTCTCCTTGACTGTATGGTCCCGAACAAGCGAAATAGGATCTACGACAAGAACATAAAAAAAACCCAGGAAAACCGTTATGGTTTACATTCTTGGATTCTGTCCGTATCTATGTGAAGTTTCCATTCTTACCAGCAGTCCATGAAGCTAAGGGACTATCGGATGAAACCAGACATTACACTGAAGAAAAACGGCAAAGTTTGAGAAAGGAGATGATACCGTAGAGGTGGTTGAACACGACCTTTGTGGCGCCGGTGGCACGGACGCAATCCAAGATCGAGGAAATGGTATTGTGGGATTTGATCAGAACGAGTTCAGCTCCGAGAGATTTCAGCGAGTGTCCCAAGTGAGAAAGAGACTGCTTCAGCCACCACCTCGATGCCCTTCCCGGATAGAACTGCCCTTCTTCTTCAGGGCACCATATGAACACAGGGAAGACACGCCCTTCCTGTGCAGCCGCGGCCAATGCCGGGTTATCCTCTATCCTAAGGTCCCTCCTAAACCAAACTATAGTCCTGTTTCTGGTGGCCATGGTTACTGGACAACGGTCAGAGGTCAGACAGCATGAACGTGGACGGTTTTGGGTGGATGGATCAAAGACAGTCTCAGAAATTTCATTCCGGAACAAGTTCTTTCCCTGCAAGAGCAATGAAATCAGACCCAAAACGCCATCGAGAGGACAGTGATTACCAGAAACATGAATGTTTCAAATCTTGATCGACATGATTTACCTTATCAGGATCGAAAACAGAGGAAACCAAACAGAGTTGTTGAACAGATTTTCCGAACGAAAACAGAGAAATCGATCTAACCCTAGACTTTGGAAAATCGAACACCCAAAATTGGAGACATCTTCTAATCCATCCAAGCAAAATACTGGCTGAATTAGATCAATACACTAAAACCCATCAGGCTTCAGAATGAAGTGAAATCGACCCTGGATCCAGGCAAAATTCTGAAATTTACGAGAACCCCAGGAAGAAAGGATTAAAAGTAGGTAAAAAGCACGAGACTTTGAGCAAGATCTTCGAGGAGCTTCTGATTTGGAGCTGTTCACGATATTTTGATGACGACCCTTTATGCGTATGCGAATTGAAGATGAGATCCAACGACGACAAAGGATACGGAGATATATACGTGAGTATATACATACACATGTACATGTATGTATGGGGGATCTGCCTACAGGTAAAAAATGATTTACAATAATTCACCAATAAACAACATTATCCACTGCAAGTGGAGACCTATTAGTTTCTAACTGAAACGTTTTCCGTGATTTAATTTTTGTATGCTTCCCTGCTTAGAGAAGTGAGAGAATAATAAACTTCCAAGGATATTGACGACACATGGTGTTTGATTATTTGATTAGGATAAATCAAAACATGTAATTGCATCATAATTACCAATTACCAAAAGAAGTTGCAAAATCCGACATGGCGAGTCGATCCTCGTTGCCCCTATGAAATGTATCCAAACTCTTCTGTCTCTTCTGACATAATTCCTTTCATGGGCACTTCTGCATCTCCCCTAACTTGATAACGTCTCTTTGTTTCTTTCCTCTTTTTTTTTCTTTTAATTTTTTTTGTTCAACTTTTATTTGATTCTGATGAGGAAGATTCTAGACCCCCCCCCTTCCTTTGCCCTACTTTCAATTCAATGGGATCAATTCTCATCCTTTGCGGAGGTATCAATTCATAAGCTTTGAATCCTCGTTTTTGTTGACGTTTCCACAAAAAGACAAAAGTCATTTACTAATAGACAATATGGTAAGCCTTATCTATCATCAAAGGAAGAGATTCCAATGCCAATCCAACTGCCATGGTGTGTTCCAATTGCAGTACCATAACCATATATACATGAATATATATGTGTATACACACATGTTAGCATTTGTGTGCAAAAGATAAGCATGCGTTCGAACTGGTTGGAGCATCATTGGTTTAGCACAGACACAATCACCGACCAGACAATGATATGCTGATTTCTATGCTCAACAATCACAGATCACAAAACAAGGATCAAAGCCGGCACAGGAGTAGTTCAGGCTTGAATCAAACAGCAAATACGCTCTTAAAACACACACATAAACACATACACCGAGAAGAACAATGTATTTTCCTCAAAAGTTTTGACCCCCACAACAATGGGTCAAATACATATCCGAGATCTTCTCAAACAGGTTCTTATTCAAAGGCTCTAACTTTATCCCAAACCTGGTGGGGACAATGACAACTCCGAGAGAGAGAGTCTGAGACTGTGGCTCCTCGGGTTTAAGAAAGGCACGAGTAGGCAAGGTCCTTCTCTTCCTTCAGCTCCTCTGCTGTAGAGTCCATCTTCTTCCTCGAAAATTCATCGATCGGCAGCCCTGTCATACACATGCCATGCATGGTTACCACATATAGATGATGTATACGTCTCTACTCACTCATTCAGTTAATTTGTGGTTGCAAAATTATCTTCTTCCTTTTCTTTTTTTTTACCTTGGACAATGGTCCACTCTCCATTGCGGCAGGTGACAGGGAAGGAATAGATAAGCCCAGCAGGGACATCGTAAGAGCCATCAGAGTAAACTCCCATTGAAACCCACGTTCCCTGAGCCAAGAGCCCATCAGAACAATGATCAACTGCCCAACTGTCTGGAAAAAAAAACAGAAAGAAATCATGGGATTTTTGGGTACAAACTTCGGGTGTTCCAAGGACCCAGTCACGGATGTGGTCACAGGCAGAGCTAGCAGCCGAGAGTGCACTAGACAACTTCCTAGCTTTGATGATGGCAGCTCCACGTTGTTGAACTGTGGTAATAAAGTCACCCTTCAACCTACAAAAATGGTTCAGACACAGAACGGAGCTTAGATGATATTAGACATGGGGAATTTTTGTGAAAAAAGGCATTCGTTCTATGAGATATATACCACTCATCATCCTTAACGAGCTCACGGACAGGCTTCTCCCCAGAAGGAGTCTCAACGGTAGCATGGTTGACATCCGGGTACTGAGTCGATGAGTGATTTCCCCAGATAATCACGTTCTTAACATCAGACACTGGCACACTCAACCTCTCGGAGATCTGACCCAACGCCCTGTTGTGGTCAAGCCTGGTCAAACAAGTGATGTTCTTCTCGGGGATTGATGGAGCGAATTCCTTCAGGATCAGTGCGTTGGTGTTTGCAGGGTTTGCAACCACCAGGACCTAAAAAGGGTAAAGAGAGTCGATAGCTGAATCAGACTAAAACCAAAAGAAAGCTATTCCATTCACAGGAAACAAAGGAAAAATGATCCCTAGAGATCATCAATATTCAATAATGTGAATATCTTAAATGAAAAGAAACAGAAAAACAAGGAAAACCTCCTCGATTTCCTCCCAAGCAATCATGCAACAAGACAAAAAACCGATATTCTCACCTTGCAGTTCGGGGCAGCATGTTTCTCCAAGGCGGCAGCCTGAGACTTGTAAATCGACACATTCTTGGACATAACGTCCTTCCTCTCCATTCCTTCTTTGCGGGGGAAGCCACCAACCATGACAGCAACGTTGACTCCAGTGCAAGCCTCAACAGCATCAGTTGTAGCAACGACACCTGATATAGCAAATAACAGCGGCAAAGCTCTCCAATTTAAGCAAAAAATATCATATTCCAAGCATAAATAGTATCACAATGAAAGGCTTCAACGATATGAAAATACACTTCAACAACACCGGTACCTTTCAGAAGAGGGAAAGCGGCATCCACCAACTCCATTTTCACACCATTTAGAGCTTCTGCAGCAGGTGGGATATCCAGCATGTGGAGGATCACTGGCTGGTCAGCGCCCAGCATGATCCCTCTTGCGATCATAGGGACAAGGGCATATCCGATTTGCCCTGCGCAATCAAACCCATTACTTCAATAGCAGAAACAAATTTGCAGATGTCTAAGAAGCAAACTACAGTGAATCCACTTGGACAAGAAATGGACGCGAAAATCAGAATATGCGAGCCTGTCCTGATTGAAAGGCATCCCTTTGAAGATCAGACAAGCCGACACCTCAAAATCATCCTTAGATCCAATCAAATCGAACAAGAATACTATCAGTGGATGATAAAATTAAAGAAGTCGAAATTTGGATCTTCGGTTTTACGGTATCTCGCCCATTTCAAGTTTGAACCCCTACAAAAGGGCCCTCCAGATAACATCCATGAAAATGAAAAAAAAAAACTGTCCGAAACTAGATTATTCTCGAAGAAAGCAAGACGATCCATCAAATGAGGGGAGATTTAACACGGAAGAACACAGGGATCTTCTTCAAATAAACGGAGCAGAATCTACAATAGCAAACAAAATCTAGATCCATAAGTTTATTCATGTCCAGATCCCATTCCGGCACCGGAAAACCCAAGATTAGATCAAGATTCGGTCAATCAAGAAAATTTTGAGAAAGAAAAACCAAGATCTAGCCAAACTAGAAAAGAACCGCGGGTTCATGAATCGGAAACCAGAAACCGAGGCAGTAGATCTGAGAACTACACAGTTACCTGCAGCTCCAGTGACGAGAACGCGAACTGGTTCCTTTGCCATATCGGATCGTGGTCGGAGAAGGTCGCCGGAGAAAGGATCGGATAGATCAGTTAAGTGGACAAGGCACTTGGATTTGTAAGAGAGGTGGTTTCTGTGTCCGTGAAGCGGACTGAAGAGTCACGGTCGCTTTATAATCGGTGGTGGAAGATGAAGGTCATGATGCCACGTCATCCAATTATTTTATTTTATCTCGAAAGAATAAATTAGCTTTAAGATATAAAGTTGTAACTAAAATTCAACTCTTTAACGGGCCTTCACTGAAATTCTGTTACTCTTATTGGGCCGACGTTAGAAAGCCCAAACGATAATTGTAAGCATCAACTTCAAGGTTGGGCCCATAAGTTGGATCCAATGGATGGGCTCGGCCCAATATAGCCAAACCCGTCGTTATAGTATATAGATCGGATTTCATATGCATTTTTGTTTCGATTTTAAATTGAATTGAAATCAAATGGCAAGCAACGAATAATTTAACATTAATAACGATTTAGTCATATAATAAGGAAAGCGGTCCAAATAAATATTATTTTATTTCACTTTACAGTAAGCGACAGTGTGGACATTGAGAGAGATCTTTTACATATCGTCTCTGACACCGTACAAACACACACTCCTTTTCCTCCTCATCATCCAAAAATAGGAAAAAACGTTAGCAGAAGAACAAAGGGCAAATTTCCAGAAGATCTGAAGCTAAGTTTCGTTTCCTTTGGTATGTAAATCGGCATCGATTCATTCCTTGTTAGTTGTTGCTTTTCTTCTCTCTTTCTGTTCCTTGGATCTCCCGTACGCGTGCCGGAATCTCCTGGGTCAAGTGAGTTTTCGATGTTCTTGCTCTGGTTTTTCCGACATTATTTATGGAGATGCGTTTGATTCTCTTGGATTGTGATCCAGTTTCGCGTATCTGGGTTCCCGTTGGATCTTTGAGATGCGGTGATGTTTTATTCATTTCGGTGGTCGAAATCGTTCTGGGTTAAATCTGGATTCCGTTCCCCATTTCCGTGCTATTTTGATTGTTGGGCGGCCTTCAATTTTCCCGAGGAAATGAGATTTTGATTTTCCCGAGAAAATGGAAACTCTATTTTCAGATCTACTAGTTCTAGTTAGTTTACGGAGGATTAAATGATGGATCAATCCAATTAATGAGCCGCCTTCTAGCTGCAAATTCATGATGATCCAGTTTCAGACCTGTAATCTCCAGTTGAATCCCTAGATCCAAACCATGTTATTTCTCTCCAAATTGTTTCCCTTCAAAGATAATGGAAATAATCAATCTTTTTCGCTTGCTTGTGACTTAAGTTTTTGCTGCTGGTTCTTCTACGAAGAACCAATTCCCAAAATGGTGGTTGTCGGCGGTCTCGTTTCAAATTAAAATATTATACTGCAATGACTTTGTTTCCACTTGTCTTTCATTTTTTGGTTGGTGTCTGGTTTTGGACCAGAAAACACGGATCTGAAATCTTCCAAGATGATTTTTCAACTTAGTTAATGGTTTTAGATAATGATGATGCATTCCCACTAATGCTGTGCTGTGTTTTTCTGCCAAACTTTTCAGTGCTAAGTGCCTCAAAAACACTTGAGACTTTTGATGGTTTTAGGCTTGTTTCTTATGGTTCGTTGTCCTGTTTTTGTTTTTGTGCAGAAACCATTGGAACTGTTGTCATATACATACATAAAGGAGATTTCTTTACTTTGATTTTGGAGTCTAAAGCATCGGTTTGGCTTGATACTGTTGCTTAAGGTGTGGGTTTGGAGAGAAAGTTGTGTTGGATGGTCTTTACGCTGAGACAAGCGTGAAAAGAAAACCCGGTATTTGAAGAAATTTTGAGGGTTTAATAAGCGATGAGGGGGAGACCTGATGGAGGCCAAAAGAAGAGGCTGATCACTCTGGTTTGTGTGGTGGCATTACTCGTTTGTTTTGTCTATATGTACTATGGTTCCTCAAACCAGGGGGCATCTGCTTTGCAATATGGAAGATCATTGAGGAAACTCGGATCATCGTATTTGGGTGGAGATGATGATGATGGTGATGATGCTAATAAGCAGGAAGAGTCTGTTGCCAAGTTTGGACAAGTAGACGGAGACAATGATGCCGTGCCTAAAACTTTCCCTGTAAGACCTTTAAATATAGTATTCAGATCGTGGAAAGCTTATCCGGGGCAAATGTGTTGTGTTACTCTTACTCACTTCTCTGTCTTTCTCTTTTTGAAAAGGTATGTGATGATCGACACTCAGAAATTATACCCTGCTTAGACAGGAACTTTATCTACCAGATGAGATTGAAGCTTGACTTGTCTGTTATGGAGCACTATGAACGTCACTGCCCACCGCCTGAAAGAAGATTTAATTGTTTGATTCCTCCTCCACCAGGCTACAAGGTGTAGTATCAGACGTCGAAATCTTGTTTTTTCTTTGACCTGATCAGTTTCTGGTTCATCTCCAACTGTTTTGTCTTGTCTTTTGATGAGGTAGATTCCTATTAAGTGGCCTAAGAGCCGAGATGAAGTGTGGAAAGTAAACATTCCTCACACCCACCTTGCACATGAGAAGTCTGATCAGAACTGGATGGTTGTGAAAGGCGACAAGATTAATTTCCCTGGTGGAGGCACTCATTTTCACTATGGTGCTGACAAATATATCGCTTCAATTGCAAACGTAAGTCTACCTAGTTCTGATCTTGATTTCCATAAGCTTCATATCCCGAATTTGTCTAGTGCTTCTCAACTTTTCATCGTATGTGAATTTGGCTGAATTTTTATCTGCTTTTTTCTATTTTTTGGTCAAGATGGTTTATATCATTCAACAAAGAGAAAGAGTGAAATTCATGTGACTGGAACTTGCAGATGCTCAACTTTTCAAACAATAATTTGAACAATGAAGGGAGATTAAGGAATGTTCTTGACGTTGGCTGTGGAGTTGCAAGTTTTGGAGCCTACCTTCTCTCATCTGATATAATCGCAATGTCCTTGGCACCTAACGATGTCCACCAGAATCAAATCCAATTTGCTCTAGAGAGAGGAATCCCTGCCTCTCTCGGTGTTTTAGGAACGAAGAGGCTCCCTTACCCGAGCAGATCATTCGAATTTGCTCATTGCTCTCGGTGCAGGATCGATTGGCTTCAAAGAGATGGCATCCTACTTCTCGAGCTCGATCGGTTGCTCAGACCGGGTGGCTATTTTGCGTATTCATCTCCCGAAGCTTACGCCCAGGATGAGGAGGATCTTAGGATCTGGAGAGAGATGAGCGCTCTTGTTGAACGCATGTGTTGGAGAATAGCTGAAAAAAGGAACCAGACAGTCATTTGGCAGAAACCACTGACCAATGATTGTTACCTGGAGAGAGAGCCCGGGACACAGCCTCCTCTCTGTCGTTCAGACAGTGACCCTGATGCAGTTTGGGGTGTGGCCATGGAAGCTTGCATCACACCTTACTCTGACCGTAAGTCTGGTTTCATGATAGTTTTGTTCACTTGCTTGCAGGATTGTTGTGCCGTTTTCAGTCATCTTTCATCTCTAATCAAGTTCAGGAATAACATATTGTGATTAATGATACAGCCCACTGCTTAACCGAGATTTTTTTCGTTTTCTGTTTCCCGGTCATGTTTACTGATTCAGATGACCATAAAACCAAGGGAAGTGGGTTAGTGCCCTGGCCTGCAAGGCTGACTTCTCCTCCTCCCCGTCTTGCCGATTTTGGTTATTCGGCCAGCATGTTCGAGGAGGACACGGTATAAAACAGTGACATGACATCTTCACAAGCATTGATTTTCAGCCATTTGGGTTGTTCCTTCCACCATAGCAGTAACACCCTATCTTTTTTGTGGTGCAGGAACTTTGGCGGAAAAGAGTGGATAGGTACTGGAATCTCTTGTCTCCGAAAATCGAGTCAGACACGTTGAGGAACATAATGGACATGAAAGCCAACATGGGTTCTTTCGCTGCTGCTCTCAAAGATAAGGACGTTTGGGTGATGAACGTTGTCTCAGAGGACGGACCCAACACACTGAAACTGATCTATGACCGTGGCTTGATCGGCACAACCCACGACTGGTATGGCTCAAAACTAAACCTCGCTTATCTCGCTTCTACGATGCATTTTGCTACAAAGGGTTCTCGTAGATTTGAGTAGAATATATGCTTACATATAGAACTGGTGTTCTGTAGGTGTGAAGCGTTTTCCACTTATCCCCGAACGTATGATCTTCTACACGCGTGGACTGTGTTTTCGGACGTCGAGAGGAAAGGATGCAGCCCCGAGGATTTGCTTCTGGAGATGGATCGTATTCTCAGACCGAGCGGATTCGTCGTCATCCGAGACAAACAACGTATAGTGGATTCGCTGAAGAAGTACTTGCAGGCTTTGCACTGGGACGTAGTATCAGCCTCGGACCCGACCAGTTCGGATCCCGACAGCGTTGACTTCATCGTCCAGAAGAAGATGTGGCTCACCACTGAAAGCCTCCGAGACACTGAATAAGAAATACATTAGACTTCACCTCGATGACTTTTTACGTATCAGAAGAAGGAAAAATAGATTTATTTATTTCTCGGTCGCCAAATTTTTTATTTTTGTAGTGATTTTATTTATTCGGGTGACCTGCGACCCATAACAAGTGTTCTTGTTCTCAAATTCATCATTGGTTTTTTTTTAATGATATTTTGTTTTGTCTGAATATTTTAAACCAAAGTTTTTCTAGCTAGCTGTCTTTGTAGAAGAAGATGCATGGCATGTTATGTTTGACGAAATGATCACCCAAACAGCCCCCAAATGTTGAATGTTTTAGCAGTACCCATGTAACGAAAATTGGAATTTGTAGGTTAAAACCGGTTTAGGATTTGTACTCGGGCTAAATCCGGTTTTCTTCAACCCAATTTTATTGATTAAAAACACCAGCCCTGTTCTTGTATCTGAAAACCCGGAATTGAAGATTGAACACAACGATCGGTTTTTTAAATTCAACCTTCTTTTGTCTGGATTTGAGGGTAAAACGGACCAGATTTTTCTATTAATTTGATAATGTCTCCGACAGTACCATTTGCAATAATAATAATAATAATAATAATAATAATATATTTAAATTTAATGTGGAGAATATCCTTTTATTTTCTTCTTGCCAATGGAAGGTGAGCAGTAGTGCCGGCCAGAATCAGCGAATCAAATTATACACAACAATATTTTTTATAGTTAAAGTAGAAGCCATATATCATCGGAAAATAATAACAAAATATTTGTAATAATAAAATTACGAGAATTGTTTTTCAAATATGATAGCGGTGTGTTCAAAAATAATTTAAATAACGAAAAAAAGCCTAAAAAAAAAATTGTAGGGGCGCCTTACATTAATATATATAAAAGGGCAAACAACGGTAATTACACTGCTAAGCAAAGCAAATTAGGGGGAAAAAGAAAATCACAGCGCCGTCGGATTTCTTTCCATTTTGTCTTCTGCCCTGGAAAGATACTGAATCAAACTCCATCCCTAGCACGCGCAGTCCCCAGTCTAGATCAGACGATATAATCGAAGCCTGAGGCCTTTTCCCCTTGTTTCCTACGCTGTATCGTCGCTCGCTCTTTGTTCTTTCTGCGGTTTTTGTCCCTTTTCGGTTTCTGCTGCTTTTTCCTGCAGACCCTGCTTTTCTTCTTCCTCTTCTTCTGATTCGAATCTTTGTAGAAAGTAGTCAGAGTTGGGTGATGATGATGACGGTGGTGGTGGTGGTGGTGGTCAATGGGTAATTTTAACTTGGGTGTATTAGAAGCTAAGCTCTTGACTTGAGATTTGATCTTGGGTTCTTTAGCCGCGTCAATTTAGATGACCTGGGTTATTTTGCAAAAAAAACGAATTGGGTCAAACTCCTTGTCGATTCAACGATTAGAGAAGATCGAAGCTACGATTTTGTGAATTTGGTCTTGTCTCCACTGAAATCTGGTGAGACTTTGGGGTCTTCCAGAAATTGGTCTAGGTTTAACCATTCCATCGGCTTTTAGCGAGCCCAGGTACACGATTGGGATCTGGGTTTTGTAATTTCTGTGATAAACGGAAATTATAGTTCTTATCAGCTTTCTGGGTGGATTCGGTGACATTATTATCCAAATAGTGCAAATTTCCCTTGGTGAAATCCGTGTTGTCGACCTTTTTTACCAGAGAAGATTGAATAAAAGGTGGGGTCAATCGGGTTCCAAGTTCATAGCAGAAGGGCGGATATTTTCCATCTGAATTGTTTCTAAATCTTCAATTGAGGATAGAAAATGGATCGTGTGGTTGGTGGCAAGTATAAACTTGGAAGAAAGCTCGGCAGTGGATCATTTGGTGAACTTTTTCTCGGTATATAGAATTTCCTCTGGGTTTTCTTGCTGAATTTTCATTGTATCTGTTCCTTTTTTTCCCCCTTAAATGTCGAGCTGCTTGATCGAATCCTTGTCATTGGTTTTGGTTCAGGGTTGAATGTGCAAACTGGAGAAGAAGTGGCTGTTAAGATGGTAAGCTGCAATGTGTTTCCTTGTTGAACTTGGTGTTATAGTTTGTCTCAATATAAATTTGTCTCAAAATCGTTTGAATATGTAGTTTCATTATACTGGTAGAAAGTCCATTTCTTCCATTTGTTTCTCTACATGGTTATAATAGCCTTTACCCGGTGCTAAACGGGTAGAAACGTTTTCTTATATTCGATCAGATGATGATGGTTAACGTTGACCTTCTTTCTGGCTGATGGGTTGATATCTTCTATGGCACATAGTTTTTTTTTTCAAGACTTTGTAAAGCCTCTTATCTACATTAGGTGTCTCTTTTCCCCTTCTTCATTAGATTATTGTCCTTCTTTCTTTACCCTTTATACTGAAACGTAGCTCGTTTCGATGTGATTTTTTTTTTATGGAGGTTTTGTTAAACTGAGACTCGTGACTCGTCATTATAATTTCGTCCATGCTTTCTTTCCCTATCCTTTGATGTTAATATTTTGCCTCTTCATGCAGGAACCCGTGAGTTCTAGGCATCCCCAACTTCAGTATGAATCAAAGCTCTATATGCTTCTCCAAGGAGGAAGTAAGCTCTGTCTTGAGTGCTCATTCTTTTGGGCAATTATGAACATAGGATTTACTTTTGTTGATTGTTTGGTGCTCTTTGAATTCTTGAAGCTGGTATTCCTCACCTTAAATGGTTCGGAGTTGAGGGCGATTACAGCTGCATGGTGATTGATCTTCTCGGTCCGAGTTTGGAGGACTTATTCAGCTACTGCAGTAGGAAGTTATCTCTGAAAACAGTTCTAATGCTCGCAGATCAGATGGTAACTGTTCCTTTTCTTTCGTTTTTTTTGTTCGATTGCATATCCGTATTTCCTCATAATTCAATTTTCCATTTTCATTTCTTTAGCTAAACAGGGTCGAGTATATGCACACCCGCGGGTTTCTTCATCGTGATATTAAACCAGATAACTTTTTGATGGGTCTTGGACGCAAAGCAAACCAGGCAAGTTATCATTCACTCGCTACTATTGAATTTGCACCCTACAATGAGTGAAGCGATGGCATGTGGAGTTTTTTTTTTTTTACGAATGATAATATTTATGTGGTTGTAGAACTTTTCCTTGGGAATGATTTTGCAACTAGGCTTTAAGTGCTAAGAAAATTTTCATCAGAAGGATATACGTTTGCATTTTCCTTGATGCATCATTTAGTTTTGGCAGGTATACGTCATTGATTATGGTCTAGCGAAAAAGTTTAGGGATCTTCAAACACACCGGCATATTCCATACAGGTAATGTAGAAAATTTTTAGTTTGTTTTACAGTTTAGTTTGGCCTATTTTCTATTTTCTTACAATTTTAGTTTGGCCCCTCATTTCTTAGGGAAAACAAGAATCTTACAGGAACCGCTCGATATGCAAGTGTTAATACTCATCTTGGAATCGGTGAGTATGTTCTTTGTCCATTATATTGTGTGAATTCAACATTATGCTATTTCTGATCATATACTGATGCGGAAAAAACGCTTTACAGAGCAAAGTAGGAGGGATGATCTGGAATCCCTTGGATATGTGCTTATGTATTTTCTAAGAGGAAGGTAGAGATATATCTCTTCTTTGTACTTCTTCGGTATTTTCCTAACCTCATTTTCGTGATAGTTATTCTTCTCTCGATTTTGTGTCAGCCTTCCTTGGCAAGGCCTTCGTGCCGGCACCAAAAAGCAGAAGTATGACAAGATTAGTGAAAAGAAAAGGCTAACGCCCGTAGAGGTAGTGTTTCCCTCTCCAATGATGAGATTTTTGTTTTTTATAGGACTTTGCCATTATCTTTTAGCTAGTAAAAGAATCCTTTACTCATCAAACTCTGTTATGTGCATGTCCACCCTCGTATTGATCGGGTGGGGTTTGAAATTTTGGTCCGATTGAAGCTGAAAATGTTCTTAGCTTGACAATGGTTTTGGTCCTTTTGTTGAATTGTTCCCCCTTCCTGTTGGTATCTGTCTTTGTGTGAATTTATAGATACAATGATGAATTTCCGTGTGCAGGTCCTTTGTAAATCATACCCCCCTGAGTTCACATCATATTTTCTGTATGTCCGGTCATTGCGGTTTGAAGACAAGCCTGATTATCCATACCTGAAGAAGCTTTTCAGGGATTTATTCATCCGAGAAGGTGACTTTTTTTTGTCAATTTGCTAAATCTATTATGCTCTAATGTTTCTGAATCATTCCTCGAAAGTTCAAAGAGTTGATTCGATATTTTTTTGGTTACTGCAGGCTATCAATTTGACTATGTATTCGATTGGACAATCTTGAAGCATCCGCAGTTCAGTTCCAGTTCCAAACCAAGAGTCAGTTCACACTTATGTTTAGAGAAATTTTTTCTTATACGATTTTAAATTTGAGATTTTATCCTTATGCCACTCGTCTTTTGTTACAACAGTCAAGCCTGAGACCAGCTCTGAACCCTCCTGTTCCATCCGCAAACAGAACAGAGAAACCTTCAGGTATGAACATTGAATCCTCTTTAACTTTTTCCTGTTCTGGTTTCACTTTTTTGTCCCAAAATTTTGTATTTTTTTTCTTGGTGCTTGTTGAAACTCTTCTTCTTCTCATCCTTCAAGTTGCTTGATTTAGAACACTGATCCAAAACCAAATTAACCCACTTCTGTCTTGGAATTCTCTTATGATTGAAGAGACTGATTTGTTCCTAGACAGTAACGAGCTTTTCCGGGAAATTTACGTAGTTGGGCAGGACAACCGGGACAGGGACAGACTGTCAGGTACTCCAGAGGTTTATGCTAGAAGAAACGGCTCTGGCAGTGGCGTTCAAGCCGATCGTTATAGACCAAGAACCTCGGAGAACATATTAGCATCCAAAGACATGGTTAATCTTCTTAACCCCCCTAGAAAACAAAATCCAATCCTTTTCATAGTTTTAGTTTTGTTTGAATCAAGGTGTTGTTTGCTTTCTTGATTTCTGTGTTCAACCATTACATTTTTTACTTTGTTTTTTTTTTTGGCATCAGCAAAACTACGAGAGACCCATCTCGTCATCAAGAAACGTGAGTTCTTCGAGAAAAGCAGTGGCTGTGTCGAGCACCAGAGCCACCTCCTCGGCCGACTTCATAGAGAATCGCTTGAGCAGGCTCGTCCCTGGCAACGGTCGCTCGTCCACTGCCTATAGAACCCAGCTCGGTCCCGATTCGTCCAAGCCCTCTTCCTCGTCCTTCACCAGGGCTGCTCCTGCAAGGACCGCGCGTGACATCACGCTCCAGAGCCTTGAGCTCCTTAACATTGGCAACGGCAGGAGGAAGTGACTCGGGTTTTAATCAGATCTAAGCGTCATTTCATGTTAAAGACATTTATGGATTACACCTTTTCCGCGAAAATATTTGCTCTTATTTAAAAAACAAATTATTCGATTAAAGATCTGTGTCTATATATATACACACACGTGGTTGTAATGTGTTTTTACAATGTCATGTACATGTGGTGCTTGGTCATGTTCCATGCAAATGTCTTACTGCTTCGCACGTTTGAGATTCTGTAAAGATAGGAAATAGGAATTAACATCCCTCAATATTAGTTTATTTTTTTCTATTTTTGAACAAGTAAATTATCATATTATATTTCTGAATCTTATTTACTATTTGTATCTATAATAATTGAATTAAATAATATATAATTATAATATATAATTATAATCGAATTAAATTTAATATAAAAATTGAATGGTTATAATTTTAAAAAAAATTAAATTAAACCGATTTAAAAAATATATAATTTTTTCAAATAAATAAATATTTTTATTAATAAAAATCGAACACAACTATAAATAAAAATGAACGGAACATAACTAATTTTGATATAGAACGAATTGTTATCATTTTTATAAAATCGAAATGATGGAATTCAAATATATTTAGAATCCGAACAGAAATTCAAAATAATCACCTTTATATATGTATTATCTCTAACTTATTCACTTTTAGTTCGTAAGTCTAAATAGAAATATATACTCTCGTATATACAAATGTCACCCTAAAAATATTTATATTCCAGATTTAATAACTATAGCTAATTTAACCAAAAAAAAAAATAACTATAGCTAAGATGGACATTGCTTGAAACATCTGTCTAGAGGATTATTAACTATCAGTTAATTGATTTTATGCAAATATAGAAGAATATCTTTTGTACGGATGTGGACACCATGTCATATGTGTGTGGATAAGGAAGTAGTAAATAGGAAAATAAATATTCTATAAATAGTTTTTATTTTGGATATAGTTACATTTTAGTTTTGTTTGAATCTATTTGAAAATAAATGTTCATAAAAATGACAGAAACATCTTCTTTAAGCTAAATGAATATAATCATCAAATAATATCTGTCTGTTAAAGCAAAAATGTTGGAAGAACACCATAAGTGGAATAATCCACATGGAATTACTTGAAAAGAAACCATTTTTAATATTTTTTCCCACAAAATGATTTTATAAAAAAGAAATAATAAAGCAAGAAATCCGTAATAATAATTAAATTAGCTGTCAAGAGGTGTAAATTTCCCAATGTTGTTTTCAGAAACTAATTAATTGGGCTTACTAAATTATCACTAATCTTCCATCAATTTCCTTTATTAGAATCTACAAATATTTTAAGTTATTCATTGTTTCCCTTTATCATATTAGATTCTTGAATTAATATGCAACAAACCTAACCATTAATTGTACATTCCCAATAAAACCTCATTCATTATCATAATTTAAATTAGCATTAAATTGACCGTACCTTTTCTATTCCATGTCTTACCATTAAAAAAAATTATTCGGACCACATTCACGTTTAAAAAAGGTAGAACACATAATCAATTAATTAATTTTTTTTATAAAAAGGATGCACCACAATATATTGTCTGAAAATTACATCATCCGTTAATGGAAATTACAACCAAATCTTACAAACACATGCATGCATGTAATGTAACTGTCCTAGATAACTACAAATTCATCATTACCATTTACCACATAAAAAAAAATACAAACATGGAAAATAATTTTAAACATACACATATACATACACACCTTTATATATACATGTGTATGTGTGCCAAGCTTCTCACAACCTCTTGCTCTTCTCTTTTCGCATTGCACTTCGAGAAATCAGACATGCAAATCCCAAAACCACAGAGAATCGCATGTCGGATTTGTGAACAGATATTCTCAAATCCACAAACCCTAATCTCACACATCGAATCCTGTCACATGAAAAATGATCTCTTACAGCCGACAGCAACCCCCCTCTCTTATTCCGCCGGAAAACCGCTTTCCCTTACCCCCTCTCTCTCCCCCTCCGCCGCCGCTCGCAGCTATTCAAACCCTCTGCTCTACCAAAATTCTTACAATCACTATCCGCCGCGTAATCATATCGACTTGAATTATTATCGTAATTATCTATACAATCACGGGAGATTCCAAAATGGGTTTCCGGCGACTCCTACGTCGCATTTCCCGGCGACACCGACAATGCGCAACAACAAATACATGTTCGGCCAGCCGCCACGTCAGTACCACCAGCAGCAGATGCAGCTTTTGCCCGCGACGACGCCGCCGGAAAACGGTGATCTTACTTTGCCGCTTCTTTGTCAGCTCGAGCATCGATCGCCGGAGACTTATGTTCCGATCATTATCGACGACGACTCCGGCCCCAACTTCGTTGATCTGACATTGAAGCTGTAAAAACTTTGCCCTTTTCTTCATAGAAAATGGAATTAACGCCGGAGAAAACTACTCCCTTATGTTTTGTCTGTTTTGTCATCGTATTTTCTTTTTTAAAAATCAGATTGATTTTTTTTTCCTAATTCGGCGGTTCGATGTATGTTATACATACGATGAAATAAAATGCGAATCCAAAAAAGAAAATTCCCCCCTTTTTTTTAACAAAGGACGATGTTGAAGTAAAAAAATGTAATGAACACTGAATTTAGCAAATTCTTATAACACGACTGACCAAAAAAAGATGATTCACTCGTACAATATGATGCACTTATGATGAGCTTTCCTTCTTCAGCTTTGCAAGTTCTTGCCTCACCAATCCAGCTCTCTGCATTCATCCACGCATACGTGAAAAAATGTATCATTTCCGGCTTCCATAACGCTCGGAACCGGCCATACAATATTGACAAGATCGGGTCTTGTACCTTGATTTTGGCCAACATAACCTTGAACCTGTCAAAGTCGTTGAGTGAAGCTCTTCTCTTCTGAACAATCAGCTTTCTTCCCCACGAGCTGTTCTCCCATTTGTTCTTCACATCTGCCATTAGAGATGGTGGCCTAAGACGAAAATGAACCACAGAACAACACACCATTTGTTGTTTTGGAAGTAAAAGGCAATATGGTGTTTGGAAAAGGCGTTATTTTTCACCAGCTTTCTCCATGGCTTCGATGAGAGACTTCTTCCTCGGGACACGGTTAGTGTCGATTTTGATGTCGGTCAGTGAGAGCCTCTTCAGGTTCATTTGGGTCCTCACCATATCAGGTGCATCGACAAGAGCCTATCAATAAGAACATCATTGGAAAACAATGAACTAAAAATGAACCAAAAAATCTTTGTACAGCACACTGTTAACCAGGGTTACATCATAAATCCCGTAAGAAGCGGATAATTTCTGTCAAAATAATGACTAAAAAACACATTTTATGAACAAAATTAGCATCCCAATTAGCATCAGATTGAAAATATGTGATCACAATTCATGGCAGCAAGAAAGTTTGATGCGCTTATTAAAGGCTAAAGCTAACAAAGGCCACAGTTCCTTCTCCCAAGTCAATAGCGATAATCATTTAGCAGACAAACAAAACTCAAACAGAGTGATACTTCAAGCCAGTAGTACACATCAAGAAAATCACTCCAAGCTACACACTCGCTGAAAGCGATTGTATTCTCAACCACGTTCCAAGTACGCATCCCCAAATTCATTTCAGAATCTCACTTCATACATTCCCGAATTCGGCTCAATCCAATGCATTCCCAACTCGTTTCAAGTCACCGTTACTGATAAACTTTACGATCCCCAAATGTACCTTAAGCTTCATTTCAATGTCATTCCGGTAGCATACAACTGCAATGCTACAATTAATCGAAACTGAAAAACTCTCCCATTCGAATCCATTTGAAATCCTAGGTTTTCTCAGCAATTCGACAAGGATGGATGCCAAACATCACAGCCGAGAACAGTCACAACCGGAGTAGAAACAAGAGCGGATAGCTTACCCTGTTCTGATCGACGACATCGACAATAACCACGAGCTTCCCGTAGTCCTTTCCATAATTTACCAGAGCCACTCTTCCGATTTCGACGTACCTCTTGAAGGCCTACAAAAATTGCACATAAGCAACGAGAATCAGATCACATCACGCGAAGAGGAGATTCAGTCCGGGGGAAAGAGGGAGAAAAGGTTACCATTGTTGGTCGATGGATAAACCCTAAACCGTATGGAGCCCGAAAACGGTGACCGATGGTTCGACAGACATTTATATGAGCGGGGAAAGAGCGTAACCCTAGAAACAACAAACTTGTATTTATTTTTTAGGGTCTGTAATTTACTTTTATTTCTAATATGCCCCAATTATTTACGAAACTACCTTCATGGCCCCCAATCTCAACGGCTTATAACTTACAACGGCACTCTCTTAGGGGTCGGCAAATCGGCTTCACTGAACGAACATTTTGCGCTCAGAACAATCTCTTGCTATTAGCATCTGATCCTGCTAAACCTTTCTCCTGTATTCTCGTAAAAAAAAGGTACAATTTCGATCCTTGTATCGGTATCTGCATGGGCAGATCTCGGATTTTTTTCCAATGCGATTATAGCATGAGGGTTGAAAGATCTAATCAGATCGTGTTCTTCGATCTGATTGATGGGATTTTCTTGTTTTTGATGTTGATCGTATTTCCGATATCTGGGATTCAATGTGACTCGAGCTGATTTTACGAAATTCTGTAGCTGCGTGTGTGTGAATGAAGTTGGCTGTTATCATTTTCTATGAAATCTAAGCTTCGTCCTCTGTATACGGCTTTGATGCTTTGTCTGGATACTGCTTGCAAGAATCAAGATAGACAGGTTCCTTGTGACCGCTAAAGGAAATGGAGGGGACAGTGTTCACGCCTCCGCTGGGAGCGATGGAACATGCCAAGACCAAACAAGGGGAGATACTGACCAAGCCTTTTCTTGAGCTCTGCAAGATGATCTTTCCTGTTTTAGGTTTACTTTCTCTGTCGCATAATTTGAGCAACTTCTGTCCCAAATCGTGCCATGTTACATAGTTTGGATTTTTCATGTTTCTTCCTCTTTGGTGTTTCTCCTCCAGATAAGTTCGGAGCTGCCATGGCTCTAGTGAAATCCGACATTGGTGGTAACATAACGGTGCGATGATTCTCTCCCTCGTTCATCGTTTTCAAGATTCAGATTCTTGCGTCGGTGTTTCTTTCTGACAGCATTATATGTCGGGTTTTCTCTTGCAGAGGTTGGAGAACAAGTACCAATCTGACCCGGACAAGTTCAAGTACTTGTACACTTTCGTACAGGTGGAAATCGAGTCTAAGACAGCCAAAGGATCGTCGAGTTGCACCAACGGTATTCTCTGGTTGACGAGGTAAAAAGATATCAGAGTTTGATGATCGATCCTGCCCGATATCTCGTAGTTCTATATTGCAAGACATGATCCAAAGTGAGAGACTTGCACTTAGTGATTGAGCTTTTGTGACTGTTTCAGAGCCATGGATTTCTTAGTGGAGCTGTTCAGAAACTTGCTTGCGCATCCAGACTGGACGATGTCGCAAGCTTGCGGCGACTCGTACCAGAAGACGCTCAAGAAATGGCACGGATGGCTCGCCAGCTCGAGCTTCTCGGTCAGATCTATATCGAACATGCCCATCACTTCAATCGACATTCTATGAGAGCGCATAACTCATTTTCAAACCGTGGAAACCGAGTTTTTCAGATGGCCTTGAAGCTTGCACCAGACAGGAAGAGGTTCATGGACATCATATCCGGCTCGGGTGACATCAACGCCGACATGGACAAGTTTTGTTCTGAATTCGGCCGTCTCCTTCAAGATAATCACAAGTTTCTGGTAAGTTAGTTTGGAATGTAACGTGTTCTGACAAAAAAAAAACCTCGAAATCTTTATCAATGGCAGTGACTCTATGTGTTGGCATGCAGGCTAGTGTGGGCTTGGACGTCATGAAAGCTTCTTGAACCAGATTTTCATGGCCATCGTCGTCCGTTAACCTAATTTTCTTAAATCGCATTTTTTTTTAATTTCTCCCTATTAAATTCATGCGGTTAATACCATTTTGCTTTGATCCCTTTGTAATACGTCCATCGTGATTTAATTATGATCTAATTATGAGTATGTGGTTATATTTATAGAACCGAAGTCTATAAACAAAAGGTGGCAATAAATTCCAATTATAGGAATTTAATAAGAGACTAAAAACGTGTTTTATTGAAACGTTTCCTTTTTTTTTTTTTTTTTTTTTGGTGTGTAAAGGCCATTGCCTCTCCTCCCTCACTTCTTCCCCTGAGAATTCTCTCGTCTAGTGGTTTTCCCACGTAGGATTTTGATTAGCTCTACGTTGTCGCCATGACCTGAGGAAAGAAAGACAAAAATATATTAAAAAAAAATACAAAATAAATTTAAATATTGTTATTAACCTGTAAATAAACAAAACCTCCCTTGTCAAAAAAAAAAATAGTGATCTCTCTCTCTCTCTCCCTCGTCCTTCCTCCTGGTTGAATTTGAGAGGGAACCCATCAAGACAACAACATCAACATTCGTGCAAATCTGTGTGTGTTCCTTCGAATGTAAGCAAATGATTCTCCTTTTATCTGCCGTTGTTTCTGGGTTAATCTCTGTTGATCTGTTTGTTATCGATTCCTCCGTAACTTCAGGTTTGCCGCCATTGCAGAGCTCTAGCAGACGACAAAGTCGAGACCTTTTTTTGTTTTGGTCTTGTGTCTTGTCTCTGATCGGGAGATGGCGACGACGACGATGAAGGGCCTTCTGAAAGGCCTACGTTACATTACTCAGATTTTCGGTGAGTCTCCCATCTCATCAATGCAAAAATTAAGGATGCAGAGATCTTATGTTCGTGTGGTGTTGTTTGTTTTTTAAATTGCAGATGAGGAGAAAGAGCCGGAGATGCAGATTGGGTTACCGACAGATGTTAAGCACGTCGCCCACATCGGTTCCGACAGTCCCTCCGTCACTACACCTACCTGGGTGCGTATACGGCTCCCGTTTCAATGGCGATTCATCTACATATATATACGTATTTTGTTATATATATGTTATTGGTACATACCCTTGTATCAATCTCCTCCTTTTTTCATGGTGAATTTGCAGATGAATGACTTCAAGCCTCAAGATCAAGAAGAAACCCAGGATCCCAAATTCAACCCAGAAGGTTATCTAGTTTCCTTTCACATTTTAACGGCGATATCATGTTATATATGTTTTATGCCCAACAATCGAAATGCAAAAGTTTCAAACTTTTTCAAAAGAAAAATCTCAAATTGAATTCGAGAACTCAACTCACCCTCTAAATGCATCTGGCTTCTCTGTAGGGAA